GGTTTTTCACTCCCTATGCTTGTCAGAACATTTGACACTGATTGATTTTGAAGCCCCTTACGTATATAATTCATAAACCTTTACTGTGTTGTCCGACTACTCATCCTTATGTATGCGCCCACACAAAAATGTGAATTGGTGAATGCAGAGAGATGCGAGACAAACTAAAAGCAGCCATAGAGAAAACATATAACATAACATATATAATTGATTGTTGCCTAAAAAAGCAGGTGTGACGTAGCCGTTTGCACGATGTCTACGCCTGCGTGAAATTATGGGCTGTCTTTATCTTCAAAACCAGCAAATTTAGCAACGCAATTTATGTTCTCCATGGCTGCTTTTAGTGTTGAAAAATTATGCAGTTTAACTCTTCTCTAAATGGTAAATAGATATAGGCTCTTTTCTTCTCACAAAAGTTATAAAGGGTTTATGGTTTTGGTATTAAACGACTTTCACACTGATGTTAATAGATGCTTTTAATCTGTCTCACATCCCACTGCATTCATCAATTCACATCTTTGTGTGAACACATACATACTGGCTGGAACAATCGTTCCTCAAGGTCCTACCATGACAGTCAGGCAGGTCGGCTGAATAGCGGTAAGTCTAAAGACAGTAAACCCAAGGTCCGAGGACGAAGTCCTACTGCTGGCTGTACACAGGTGTGACAGCAGTAAGGTGTTTCCTTCAGACAACCAGAATAACAGCGATGCTGTCTTCCCACAAGGAGGGGTTAGGAAAGGTCGACCCTAAAAATGCACACCTCACCTTATCCCACGGATATCCGTCTCCGGCGGTAACATCTCAACAATTACTCACAAAAAGGTCGTGTGTGACCGACCTCAAGCAGTTGTCCCTTGCGGTCACGCTTTCAGGTCGTTAAAACCACCTCTAACCCAATTTCCTTTTGAGGTATCTCCTGAAGAACCCTTCCACGGTGTGGGCAATCGGGAAGTGATAACTCCCCCATGTCTCTAACAGCGCTCAAGATCACTGTATTCATAATCAACCTCCCTCTTCAATCCCTTTTATTTCTCCTACATCGACCTTCGAATACATTCTCTGTCTTCCTTTAAACTATGAGATTAAAATCACTTCATATCTTTTTTTCTACCAACTAATCCTTTCTTCCTGTACTACGTCCTTATACACAATCTTTCTTTTATATATTACCACCACTGAATTGATTACTTCTATGAATCCGGTGTTCATCTTGTTGTGCTAATGAAGTGTGACAACCGATGCATATATGTGCCTGGTCGTACGTTGTAGCTCACTGAGTGACACACATAGGGATGAGTAATCGGACAACACACTAAAGGATTATGTTTTTAGTTGGCGTTAGAATCAATTAGTGTCAAATAATCCGATACACATAAGGAATGAAAAACCATCTTCATCACTAGAGAATAGATTTGAGTTTGCCACTGGGAGAGCGCTGCGAAGTACAATATAGCCCGTTTGCAAAAATATTTTATACACACAACAGAAACAAATGATTTGATGGCTTGAAAGACACAGTTTTAAACTATCTATGAACGTTAAAGTATACTGAATTGGTGGACCAATAGCAATTTGTTACGCCAGTAGGCATCTACAACTCCGCCTGGAGTCCCTCCGAGGGCTACTGCCGGTCCCAAGCCCGGATAAAGGAGGAGGGTTGGGCATGGAGTTAGCGACCCCATCCCGTAGAAAACTAACTCGCTAAAAAAACGCTAACCAGAAAAAATTATTCAAACCATTTAAACTCTGCCCTGGGAGTCAGAAAGTCTTCATTTGGGAGAGTTATGACGCCTCATGATGAAAGCCGAGTTCCTTAAGAAGTCACGAGGCCGATGCCCCTTCTGACAACCAGAGCAACCATTTATTTAGGTACATGGAATGCTTGTACAATGTGGGAGACTGGGAGTCTTCCAAATTGCTGCAGAAATGAGGAGATACAATTTAGAGGTGCTTGGGATCAGTGAAACAGATTGGACGCAAGTTGGACAACAACGACTAGCTTCAGGGGAGCTGCTGTTATACTCCGGACATGAACAAGAAAACGCCCCACATACACAATGAGTTGCATTGATGCTGTCCAAACAAGCACAAAATGCACATATAGGATGGGAATCTTATGGACCAAGGATCATCAAAGCCTCCTTCAAAACAAAGAAAGAGGGCATTACAATGAACGTCATTCAATGCTATGCGCCTATCAACGACTACAATGAAGACGCTAAAGATCAATTCTACGATAGGCTGCAGTCAATCGTCGAGAAGTGCCCAACAAAGGACCTGACCATTCTGATGGGAGATTTAAATGCAAAGGTTGGAATTGACAACACCGGATATGAAGAGATCATGGGACGACATGGACTGGGAGAAAGGAACGAAAATGGTGAGAGATTTGCAAATCTGTGTGCCTTCAATAAACTGGTCATAGGCGGGACTATATTCCCACATAAACGCATACACAAAACCACATGGACTTCACCGGATCACACCATACAGAACCAAATCGACCACATCTGCATCAAGAAAAAGTTCAGGAGGACGATGGAGGACGTCAGAACAAAGAGAGGAGCTGATATAGCATCAGATCATCACTTGCTGGTCGCCAAGATGAAATCGAAACTCAAGAGGCACTGGACAACGGGGAGGACAATATCACAAAAATTTAATACGGCTCTTCTTCGGGATAATGACAAACTCAATAAATTCAAGATAACCCTCAGCAATAAGTTCCAAGCCTTTCATGATCTACTCAATGGAGAAGAAACTACTATGGAGAGCAACTGGAAAGAGATAAAAGAGGCAATCACTTCAACAAGTCATGAGGTCCTGGGCCAAAGGAAGCACCATCACAAGGATTGGATCACGGTCGATACACTGGATAAGATTCAAGAAAAGAGGAACAAGAAAGCAGCAATCAATACCAGCTGTACAAGAGCAGAAAAAGCCAAGGCACAAGCTGAATACACAGAAAACAAGCAAGTGAAGAGGAGCATCAGGACCGACAAACGCAAATATGTGGAAGATTTAGCAGTGACGGCGGAAAAGGGCTGCAAGAGAAGGAAACATGAGACAACTGTATGACACAACAAAGAAACTCTCTGGAAATCACCGTAAACCAGAACGACCAGTGAAAAGCAAGGAAATCATCAACATTGAAGAACAATGTAACAGGTGGGTAGAACACTAAAGAACTCTTGAATCTACCAGCTCCATTGAACCCACCCCACATCGGAGCAGCACTCACGGACCTCCCAATCGATGTTGGCCCACCAACAATTGAAGAAATCAGCATGGCCATCAGACAAATCAAGAGTGACAAAGCAGCAGGACCAGACAACATTCCAGCAGAGGCACTGAAAGCAGACGTAGCGGTAACTGCAAGGATACTCCAAACTCTCTTCAGAAAGATCTGGGATGAGGAACAGGTACCAAAAGACTGAAAAGAAGGACTTCTAGTCAAAATACCAAAGAAAGGCGATCTCAGCAACTGTGACAAATACAGGGGAATCACTCTTCTCTCAATACCAGGAAAACTCTTCAACAGGGTATTGTTAAACAGGATGAAGGACTCCGTTGACGCACAACTTCGCGACCAACAGGCAGGATTCCGTAAGGATAAATCGTGCACAGACCAAATCGCAACTCTACGGATCATTGTGGAACAATCAATTGAATGGAATTCATCACTCTATATCAACTTCATTGACTACGAAAAAGCATTTGATAGCGTGGACAAAACAACACTATGGAAGCTTCCTCGACACTACGGCGTGCCTCAGATGATAGTCAATATCATACAGAATTCCTATGATGGATTAAACTGCAGAATCGTTTATGGAGGACAGTTGATAGACTCGTTCGAAGTAAAGACCGGTATCAGGCAAGGTTGCTTACTCTCACCCTTTCTCTTGGTGATCGACTGGATCATGAAGACGTGAACATCTGAAGGGGAGCACGGGGTACAGTGGACATCTAGGATGCAGTTCGATGATCTAGACTTCGCAGATGGTCTGGCTCTTCTATCGCAAACGCAACACTAAATGTAGATGACCAGTGTAGTAGCAGTCTCAATATACACAAAGAGAAATGCAAGATTCTCCGATATAACACAGCATGCACCAATCCAATCACAACTGACAGAGATTTGGAAGATGTAAAAACCTTTATATATTCGGGCAGCATCATCGATGAACACGGTGGATCTGTTGCAGATCGGAAGAGCAAAAGCAGCATATCTCAAACTGAAGAACATCTGGGACTCAAAACAATTGGAAACCAACACCAAGGTCAGGATTTTCAATACACATGTCAAGACTCTTCTACTTTATGGGGCGGAAACCTGGAAAACCACGAAAGCTATCATCTAGAAGATACAAGTGTTTACCAACAGTTGTCTACGCAAAAAGCTTCGCACCCGTTGGTCGGACACTATTAGCAACAACCTACTATGCGATAAAACAAACCAGATCCCGGCGGAGGAAGAAATCAGAAAGAAGCGCTGGAAATGGACAAGACACCCATTGAAGAAAGCACCGAACTGCGTCACAAGTAAGTAGGCATCTACATAAGAGATTGTGCAGCTTTGACGGAATCAGAATATGACGACCACAGGAAGAGCAGTAGATTTCACATTTTCAAGAACTGCTCCAGTAACAATAACAATGTGATTAATTAGAAACGCGAAATCGAGTACTTGACCAATTACTTTCTACTGGTTCGCGTTAATCTTCGGCATAACAAAGAGTTAGTCAACTATGTTGATCACTGCACTTAACATCAACCAAAGAGGAATTACGAGTTCTCATTGGATGACAAATTTTCACACGGATACTAAAAGCTCAGACGGCTTAAAAGATCGACCGGAATGAGACGCCAAATGAGATAACCAGAAATAAAAGAATTAATAAGACGAATTGCAATGGAACCATTAGATGAACGTGCAGATAACGTTGAAAAACATATGGCACGGCAAACCCGAGCAAATAGAGTAAACCACCTACCTTTTAGCCTTAGATTAATAGTATCACCTTTACAAATGGCCTTTAGTACAGAAAATCCGCGCTGTATATATAGAAGTTGAGTTTTGAAGCAAGTTCTGCAGAAAACTTAAAATGTCAGTGATCTTGAATGTTACCCATCCAGTCATTAAACCTCCCTACTTAAACGTTAACAGATAAGTACTTCAAAGCGAACCACCACCATGACTGAGGCAGTCATTATTCGAGAATGCTTGATAGAAGGCAGCCAGTCCCACAATACATTGCATTTCTCAGAGTCGTGATTTAAGAAAAGATGACAATTTTGTACGAGCATCTGCAAGGCAGGTAAACATTCAAAGGAATCAAGGTGAGCATATAATGACTGATGTATCATGCATTAATTATTGCATCTAGACGTACATTTTGAAGTTATGACCCTGACTGGCAAGTAAGGTCTTCTGATTTTTAAAGATCGATTGCAGTATTTTCACGACAACACATAGGAGACCAAATACAAATATATCACAGGAGTGAACACCTAATGTGTAAAGACTGGTCTTTTCCTATGAATTACTTAAAGTGCATACTTTGCTAATTAACGATGTAGGACGGTGTCTACACATCCCATTAAAATGTGATCTTATGTAACAGACAATGTTTTATTGATTCTTTACATATCCATTTTGAACACGAACGAAGAAAGTGGAGAACTGAGGTAGCTCCTAACATGTTAGAAATACTGGCGACCAGTTGTTACTGCTTATAAAACTTCTAATAAGAAGTCGATTCGGATTAATAGAACAGACTTACTCGAGTAACCGGTAATTAAAAACCTATGACGATTTTCTTATTGAAGATATACTTTTATCAACACTGTCATTTGACGTACTGTCGTATTACTCTTTCAGAGCACAAGAGCTTATGAGAGGGGTACATGAGATGATTAAAAATAAAATATTCAGCTGAGAAAACAACTACTTGAGAGCAGGAGTGTATTTGTTCGGTGGGAGCTAAAACATTCATTACTTACTATCCATTGACTGAAATGTTAGAAATGGTCATATTGAATTTAGTAACAGATCAGAACCACACCAGCTACCATGTGTGACAAAGGGATAATACTTCCAACAGAACAACTCTATGTATTTTTCTCTAGGTTATACAATGCTTTTAGTCGTCATAGTCAAGTAGAGCCAACTCAGGTTCGTCATATCCAAGTTGTCCTAAAGTTGGCAAACCGAGTTGTTTCATTGTGGGTTCAATCTCTTTTTGAAGCCACTCCCAAGCACCTTTGGAAACGTGGCACTTAAACTAAGGAACAATCAAATTACGATAGAACAACCTACCTTCACAGCTTCAATAAACCTTATGGCCAGAGCGATGTCGTTGATGCGTTTACAAGCCTTAAGGCCACTAATCACCACTTCTGGCGGAGGAACAGCGTCTTCTAGATGAAGTTTCTGCATCCATGCCCTAGTCCCCCAACCGTCAATTTTTGGATCATCAAATGCATTCACGAAACGGGATCTGAATACTTCGTAAGGCTCGGTTGCATTTGCATATTCTGGATTAGTAGAATGGTTTGCACATGGTTTAAAATAAATAAATGGGACGGTTTTATGGTAACCTTTAAAGAAAACATAATTCGCTAAACAGTTATACTTTTTATAAAGTTGACAACCGTCGAACGAATCATCACCATGACCTCACAAACGAAAGAGGTACCTTAAATAATATTCTATGTTCAGTATCTGCATGTACTAGAATCGAATGTTGAAGGGTAAACTACATGTTCTCTGATTTCTGTGCCTACTTACTGAGAGTGCATCTTTGTTAACGACAAGGTTTAACTTTTTTTTATTCTAAAAACAAAAACATTATTTCGTGGTGACAGTAGCAATTGAATAGGGACATTCAGTTTCAGTTTGGATAGGGCAGGAGGGTAGATGACCTGTGTTGTTCCTGGCAATGGTGGTCTCTCAATCGATCCAACTTTCTTTCGAAACAATCAACAGATAATGAATTCCACTCGCTGATGATTCGATGGGAACGTCTATAGTCAGTTGATAAAGTAATCTGTTCTTGTCTTGTGAACTATTTTTCGAGTTTCCTCATGAATGCTCTGTTTTGAAAGACAAGAAAAATGAAGGCATATCATGTGTAAATTTATCGCCAAGCAACTGGAAAACCGTATTAAAATCTTCTCTAGTTCTTCGATATGACGATGGGAATATGTTTAGTTTAGCCAGTCGAACAAGATGGAGCTGCACTTGGAGGACTACTACAACCATTATCACAAAGGTTCAAGTATTTACAAAAAATTTCCAACGCAAGATACTCAATGCCTCTAGACCGGATATCATCAGCAACACCCTTCTGTGGGTAGCGGACAAACCAGCTTCTAGCTGAAGAGGAAAAGTTACTAGAAGTGGGTAGAAAAAAATTGCGGAAGTCACCAAACTGCATCACCTATCATGTGTTAACTTGGAATCCTGAAGGGAAACGGAAAATGGCCGAAGAACACACTGAGTCGGAAATTGGAAGCAGACATGAAAAGGATGAATAGTGACTGGAAACAACTAGGGACGATTGCTCGCTACAGATTAAGATGGAGAATGCTGGTGGGTGGCTTATGCTCCTCCACGATGGGTAGCAGGAGTAAGTAAGTAGGTACAATTGACCAAATGGAGTGAAGAGAACTAAGAACAACACGACACGTAGTTTTTACGTTTTCCTGAAAGCTTATTACCACAGAGTGAGTTCAGTAAGTATTTAGAATTGTAGAGATCAATGAAAAGCCAATTAAGACGTGTCACATGTCGTCATTCTTTTGAAATCGTCACCAGCCAGCTCCGTGAAGAATTTTGATTGCCCAACGTCAACGTTTGTAATGAACACGCTAGTCGCTCACCTCTCGTCATACTGAGTGTGAACTGATCTAAGTAGTTCTCCTGTCTGCATGAATGTCAGTTTTAATTAATTTTCTTCATCTAAGCCAACTAAGTATCATAACGATATAAATACACAGTTATTAAAGTTTGCTCTAGGTTATTGTTTGACTTTTCATGGATTTATTACGCTTAGGCCCTTAAATGTGCTTATCTTAGAATTATCATTGGCATGCATGTGGATATCTGGTACTTGTTTAATGAACACTGAAAATATAACATTTTTCTAGGGTATTTCGTCTAGTTTGTTAGATAAATTTATTTTTTTACGTCAGAACATGCTTTGTAATAAATTATTTGCTCTATAGTTAAGCGCATTATAGTGTTTCAATTCTGCAACTCGTCGCTAACCACATCAGCAGTTTTAAAGATAGACTTGATGTTTTATTCTCCTTTTGGCTAAAACTTCCTTGGATTATGTGCACATATCTTTTGTTTTAACTTGCACACTTATTTGAACATCAAAATCATAGTTTACCGTAGGTATCATTGCCAAGGTTTGATCTGATAATTTCGAATAAATTGAGCATTTGGTAGATTGTTATAAATAAATAATATATTTGTAATATCCCAACGTGTTATTCTGTTGTACTGATTTAACTTAGATTAACTTTAGTTTGGTTATTTATTCTCTGAAGAAGTGGCTTGCACTCAGCAAAGAAACGTCAGAAAATCCAATTTTTCTGCTCACTGGGATATTACAAATATATTATTTTTTTAATCATAGTTTACCAGTTCTAATCGCATGGGTCAAGAACGGCAGTTCTAGTGGGATAATATTAACTCCATCAAAATCATCCACTTGAGCTACAAATCTTCTCCACTATCTTAATATGAAGAAGAATTTGCAGCCCTTCATCATCTGCTTACTATCAAAGGCATACGGAAAGATGAGGCATTGCATCTCTAACATAGTGAAATGAAATTTATTGTTGATTATTCTCATGAATGTAGGTCATTGAGGGATGTTTTGACATGACAGAATGAAAGGTGCTATAAATCAAACTGGTTGGTTAGTACTGCTGACAATTGTTCGGTGGAATACAGATATTGTTGTTTAAATTACTTGTATTTCCAGCTACTTCAAAGGCTATGTTGCTTGGTCGAGGTTAGGGTGATGTAACTCAATGCACCGAAACGGATAAATTATAATAGAATTCTGGTAGACACCTATCTGGTGGTGATATCAATGATGTTTTAGCTACTGTTGTCCCCAAGTCGAATGCATGTGTTTAGATATCAAGATTGTTATGGTCACTCTGGTTCCTATTATGCTAATGAATGAAACTACAATAACGTTGATTTGAAATTCAAAGGTTATGAGAAATTGAAACATGTAGTCTCATTGTGATCTCATTGTTTTGCCAGAACTCGTCGATTTTGTCCGTTTGTTATAAACTGAAAAACGTCTTGGTGTGTTCTGGTGACGTAGTGATAAATAAATTCGCAAAATAAATATTTCTTTGAGTTTTCAACATTGATGCTGACATCATTAGTTTTACTGGAAACACCTAACTGAAGGCGTTCGGTCACGCATCTGGACGAGATCACGAGTGGGTACACTGTACTGCACATTCCTTGCAACTCTAGCCAGCTAGGACCGAACGCCTCTCGATGTATCGCTAGCTTTTCAAATATTTCTTTGAACATCTACATTCCTGACTTCCGATTTGAATGGGCTGGTATACTGCCACTATAAAGGTGTTACGTGTAAAGGCATTGCTATTCATTACCACTCACTTAGATGGTGTTGATGTCAGTTGTTCCAGAGAGTAAGTTTTCAGTTACTACCCCCTCATGCAATAGATGCTGCAGTCTTCCTTTTCAATTTTGGTTAGTGACATGGTTCGATGGTTTATAATCTAGAGTTTTGTAAGGTCCTCCATAAATGACGCGACCAGACAAGCTTTTTGGCACATCAAAGGTTTTTTGGAGATATCTTCTGCGAGAGAATAGATTATGTCTAACTGTTTAATATGACCCACTACGACAATAAAGAACGCATAAGAATACTTACAATAGCAATCATTCCTCATCCGGTCAAAGACAGTCCTCTTAAAATTATGCAACTACATTTTTTAGTTCTAACGAACTCAATTTGTCAAAGGTATTCTGCGGGAACGATTAAGCAAAACCTGGTCACTCTTCTGACATTTACTCCTTCATTCGATTATTTTTTATACAATTTCAAATGTGTACTACCAAGCAGCCTCCCCGATGTACAACATAAGTGCAAAATCTAGTAATTTCGGCTACTTTTCTTATCCTTTATTGTGTCGTTCGTACATATAAGAATGTACTCTTACCAAAGACTTTAAGGCAGTCATTTAACTCAATAAACATTTATCTCCCCTCAAGGCATCAGTGTATCGCATCCCATATTGGTGGAGGAGAAAAGCAGGCGAATTGAAAGTTAAAACTAGTGATAAGTTATTTAACGACCATTATACTCTTATATGCAGTACTGAACCACTGACCGAAACGAAAAAGTCAGCACAAACGTCAGGTAGAAGGCAAGTGTTCGAATTTCTTTACATGTGGTTCACAGCTTATCCTGTAGATCTCGATGTTGACTCGTTCTTAAAGACCTTAAACCTGTCAGGAATCTCCACAACCAAAACATCCAGCTCAGAGAACAAAACTCCATCAAAATCACCCACCTGAGCTACAAATCTTCTCCACCATCTCGAAACGAAAAAAGTTATGTATTTTACTTAAACACCAAAAAGTGGGTTTACTTCATGGACACGTATCCTAACCTTATTACACTGCTCTTTAGTATTGAAATATTTTCATTCCTAACCATTTTGAGCGCACGATGTAATATGCCCCATAGGTTGCTGCGTAACGTTAGTAAGTATGAGCACAACTTCGAAAGTGATTACTGTAATCGAACATTTCCGAAGTTTGCGACTAAATTTTCCTATTTAATACGCTAAATGAATTTCATTCAAACTCTAATGACTTTCATTCTTTGCGTCCTTAATTTTTGCTTCGACTAGTCACAGAGATTACGCCGTTATTTAAATCTGCCAGCTATCCTTTTGACTGTCTTATGTTTGTCAGTAGTTTCTATAAGACTAGATTTTGGGAGCATTCCTTTCTCTTTCATATGTTTTAATCGCGCGGTACTACAGAAACCTCACAAGTTGTGGTTTCTTATTACTTTGCATATGTTACGTCCTCATGGTAATTCTTTCAATTTGAATTTTATGAGCCACACAATCTTTATGTTGGGATGTTTTATATAAACAGTGCATCATCAAAAGCTTACAAAGTCTGTGGGTGTAAAAATGAGAAAAATTCAAGAAAACCAGGCAGAATTAAAATGTTAAGAATGTCTTGATCGACCATACGAGACTAGTTTTATTCGTCTTTGACGACGACTGTTGCTTTCAAAGTATCTGTCAAGTAGTGGATCTGAAGTAAAATATAGCAGCTAGAAGTGATCTTTAAGTTACTCCGCTTATAATCATCACTGTTCTCCACTATATCATGTAAGTTAGTCTAGAGCACTTCTAGAGTTCCAAGTAGCCCTGAGACCAGGTAAAAAGGATCTTAGTTCAAGATTATCAACCGTATCTTACGAGAATGAACATCATTGAAATTGATATTCAGAGTAAACCGATTAATCCACTAACACACTCCCTTGAGAGCTTAAATATCTTCACGTGGAAGAAACCTCATAGTAAAAGTAAAGACTTTTCAGAAACCACGAAACCGACGTTCATTCTGACAGTCAATACGGTGATTGGCACGGACCTACAGAATTTCTGGACTTTGTGGGAAACTGAACGAGTCACTCGAACAGGTGCATGGAAATAGTAAAATTCACTAGAGAGGACCTGGAGTAAGGGGACTAATGTCAAGAGAGCTGTCATTATGTTCCAGCCATGAATAAAATCCAAAGTTGAAGCACCGCTCTAAACAGAGAAGAGATGGGTTACAACGAGTATCATGTACTGCTACAATCCCACTAATAATAACAGTAAAGATGATAGACGTTAGTCTGACGAGCGGATGCGGTCCATCGAAGAGATATTACCAGGAAAACACACGAATATCCCAACGAAGGACCTTAACGCCAAGGTTGGTGTGAATATCGTCGGGTGCGTAAGCAGCATGTAACAACACAGACTAGGAAAAAGCAAAAAAATTCAAAGACTGGGTAATCTATATGCTTGTAACTAGGTTGTAATAAGTGGTACAATTTTTACTGATGGACTCTAACATGAAGACATATATATTTCAACTGGCTGCACTGGATCAAACATATAAGTACACAAAAATGATCAGAAGGTCTTTCGTGCTTGTAGGTAACCCTCGTGCTATTGATAGAAGAAACCAGACAATTAGTGAATAGGTCTTTATTTAGATCTTCACGCAGTCAAAGTGGAGCATGGGATTCCCTGTTCAGACAAACAAAGCCTCTCAACATTCAATGTGAGATAATGGGAAATATAACGCCTATACAAAATAAGGAAGTGAATAAATACTTAAACCTTACTGATTTAACATATGCTTAGTTGTTTGAGGTCAACTCTTAACTAATCAACCTAAGCTGTTACAGGTCCACTTAAAACGTAAGAACAGAGCATTATATCCGAACTTTTTGACGTACATTCACTCGATAACATGCAACTTTCGACCATGTAACGTGAAAACCAAAATTTAAGTATCCAAAGAGTTGAGATGTACACTATATTACAAAATCACAAAACTTTGTTCCACATAAATTCAAAAAAGTTAAGTAATAAACCTTCATTATTCAGGTTTCCAGAGATAAAATCCAAACGACTAACAAAACATAAAATCCAAAAATCTAAGGTCAAAACTCCAAACAAACCAAATTCATAGCGTGTATCAAACAAATTTGTCAAAACCAATTTAAAAGGGGCATTCGAAATAATAATTTGTGATAAATTAGATATTTCGAGTTTCTTCCGTATCACTTCCAACTAAAATGACGTTGGCTCCTTACACAGACGAATAAATCCTCAGCATCAGTTACCAGTAGAATGGGTTTACGTCAAATCAAACAACAACCAACAATAAATCACCGTAAAACAAACAATCCTCTGGGTGTATAGACGACTTAGCCTTAAACCACTAATCAGTGGTGATCAGCACAGGGCGAGCATAAAATAAAAATATTAAAAGTAGAAATAAAAGACACAGACCAATGAACAAAGCAAAGATGTCACGAATGTTCGAGGCCAGTGAAAATTATAACATCGGACGAGGCAAAGCCAGTCAAATCAGAATTCAAAAATGGAGGAGTTCGAAGATATATTTACAAGAAAGTCAATGTTTCGACAAGTATATGATCTAATCTGACTAGTTGCTGAGAGAGATGAATGGAACGGTGTACCAAACGGTGATCTGGTATGGATGCATGACCGGCTCCCTTCAGCTGCGGTGTGTCCAGTATAACTTTTAAGGTCATTCGTAAGTCTTAGACAAACCACAGTGATGTATTTATAGAAGGCATGGTAAACACTTCTTTCTTATCTAAATGTAATCCTAATGAGTTGCAATTTACAAGTGAACCCAGATTCATTTAAAATAACATTGGTACGTTTGACCACATTGAATAGTGTAATTTCAAACGTATCCACAAGCTTCTTCCTTATTATAGACTCGACAACCGGTCGTCACTCTATTCATATTCAACATTAACATTAAGACAAATATTAGCAAAAACATTCTTGTTGATATTCCTTAGCGTATGGATATAAAGCAGGCTAAATAATGACCAGTCAGCATTCAGATATCGGTTCAGTACTAAAGACAATTCATATTTAACTCATAAACAAATAGTAAATTTTCGATGACAATCAAAATACACATTGACTCAAAATAACCGGCAACGTTCGGACGGATTAACTTCTAGAATCGCGACTAAATATTGAAATCTGAGAAGCTAATTAAACTATACAAAACTTCAGGCTAGGTAATCATGCCTAAACAAGAAATGCAGCATTCTAATTCCTAATCCTAACTCTGAACTTTAAATATTAATCCCAATTCCTCACACTGGCTTACAACCCTCGTATGGCCGTAGAATGTAGGTGGACATTCTCAAGGTCATTTTTGCGTCGCTCAAACGTCGTCCATAAATTATAGTCTCACGGTGATTTCTAGTGAGATTCGCTGTTAATGCTGAATATTGTCCACGTTTCATAAAATAGATATTCGCATAAATATGAACACATTGTATGGTTACTAACTGAGTGTTACATTGTTAAATTGACTCGAAACCATCTAATTGATATCGGTTTTGTACCCATTTGTAAAACCTACATATTAGTGTAGGGTCCTGATGAAGAACGAATTGAGACGAAATATTTCTTCGCAAAACTTGTATATTCAATGTCTCAGTGGGAATATTTATTGAGCATTGTAAGATGTTTTATTTGTATGATTACGTTCAGTATGAACTGTTTTGCAAATATTTAACTAAACGGGCACTTGAAAGCAAAGTGGAAACTAGTAGGCTTCTCAATCACACTAGTCTTTTGTAAATCACACATACCAAACCAATTAGGAAATAAATGTAAAAGTCAGAAGTATATATGTCAAAACAAATATTTTTTGCAAAAATAGTACAAAACAAATTCTCTTCTGTATAGAATATACATTTTCTTTAATGTATACGTGGTGACATTTATAGATGGAACGTTCGACGACACAAATCTGATTATTTACTCGGTTAATACACGGTGAAACGAAGCTCGAGAGAGATGTTAACCTTTGCCAAGAAATTCGCGTTTACCTTCATCGTTCACTGCACAGACATGCTTGAGAGGAGAGGAAATAATCAAATGAGAAAAAGTGAACAATATTAATATCATTTCTAGACAGTGTGAAAGCAAATCTGACTCATCTCATTCATTCAAGTGATACATGTTCCATTTGTTGGCTAACGTAATTACTCGCTCACATTCATACCTAATCATCACTCTCCAACACGTGTTATTCCACACATTCAACACGATCATTCCACGTATAATAACAAACACAAACGGGATAACAACAAATTATCCATTCGTCCAATTCACTTACTGGCAATTCACGGAAGCGATCGTTGTAGTCGATACCATAACCAACTATGAATACGTTCGGCACTTCGAAGCCAACATCTACAAAATGCCATTTGATACGGATGAGTTTGATGGAGTAAGTTAAAATGATGAGTATTGATGAGCATCTGGTCAGAAGCAGAGTGCATTCGTGTTACACAGTTTTACTTTGCGCGTTGTTACAATTGATCTCTGAATGAACCATTTAATGTGGTATTGAGTGACTCAAATATACACTTGGTTTAATTTTGACCGAGATCAAGATAACTTGTGAGGAAAGAATTGACTGTTGAATTCTCTTACACGGTTGCTATATTTCTGTTTGGATGTGTTGTCAGTGATCAGGAACACTGTGAATAGATTATCTTTAGAAATGGAACTCGAACATGGTTAATTGATATAATTACATAACGGCCAAAAACACAGTAGTTCTTCGTTATTCAGTGTCGTTCGAGTTCCATCTATCAATAAATCAGTGAGTGATATCTCACTCTTACTCTATGAATATCTGTTCAACGAATTAGTTTACAAATTCAATCCTCAACAGATTCTGTCGTACTATTGAAATGATTGTGACAAGATCAGATCTTCATTCGAAGACTCACATCTTCGAACCTAGAATGATTCATTTAATATACACTTGAACACGAATCTAGTCAGCTATAATACGCATAAGTAGAGATACAAACAAATTAACATTTACACAAATACAGTGATAGTTCTGTTACGAACAATCTCAGTATTGAAGACTTACAGGTTGGGTAATATCCAGGAAATTCGGCTATTCTTTTGACTAGTAAACTGTGATTCAATTGAAAAATGACATCAACACATGTTATTACACAACTATTATTGGTAAAGTAGTTAGTTTAGTGATTGTCAATGTGGAAATGCATGCAAATCAGGTCAAGCTGTTGAGTGTAAACAGTTGATTGTTCCAGTACTCAAAGCATTCTAATGACTGTTTATACGATTCGGTGTCCAATCATAACACGTTGCAATCAATGTGAAATACGACGACATTTATCTCTCTTTACACTGTGTCTCAATGATACCGTGTATTTCAACGACTTTCGTGTACGGGACAAATATTATCGATTATTTACTAACTGCACACAAATCAACTCACAAATCTATCAGACCACATCAGTAGTACTTACTATCAAAATAAACAATTGATTTCTACACATTCAATGTCTTATGATCAAAGTGTATAAAACATCTACTAGACAATGAATCCACTTGTTCAACTTATTAACATCCAACTCAACATATACATAACATTCGATTCGAATGTATTCGGTGATAATACAGAAGACAGATTAACATCAACACAACATACCATGCTGAACGAACAGACTTCGGTTCGTATTTCTTCACAAATCTCTCCAGTTCGTTTAAACTTGTGCCCGTGTCAACCATATCTTCCACAATGAGTACATCCTATGTAGAAGAACCAAATGATCATTATAAATTCTCTCCATTTCACCTCAACCTACCTTATCTCTGAACTTCTCCATATTTGTACACGGAGTGATTTTGGTATCATGACCTACTGAATCATCCTGAATAAATTGATAGAAATTAATTCACAAAATGTCACTACTACTTACAACGTATGTACTTGTAGCGACGAAGTCGATGCTAACTTTTATGTAATTTTCACGGTTGAATGAATACTTTTGTAATGATTTCCACATGTCAGAAGTAAATTTGAAACCTCCTTTCAATATACAAATCACGTAGACAGATTGTACACCAGATTTCTCATAATCACTCAATATATCAATAGACATTCTTTCCACACGATTCTCAATCATTCCACTTGGAACCAAAATGGTTGAAATATGTTTTTCATATATTTCTGGTAGAGTGAAATTCTTCGCTGAATATCCTTCATAACTATCATCAAACTAATTGAAAAACAGGTAAACATATTGTGAAGACAATTTGAAGACTTACGATTATGCAGTCACTTTTGTAATCACGTGTAGTCATTTCAACGCTGTCAATTAATTTATTCACAGTGAAGAAGAATCTACTGAGATTATATAGAGTGAAACACAGTTGATCAACCAACCAGATGTCTCGTCACAATGACCAATCAACTATCGACTTTATAGAAAGTTGAATTATGACGATAATTCTATGGGAGGAAATCGAGAGTGAGATTGCTTTAAGAATCGGTTAAATTCACCGCATTTCATTCCTATATACATAATAATAAATTAACATGAGGGTGGTTAAGCATTGTATTTTCGTGATAAGCATGTTAATAATACAGGGCACAATGTTATCAGGAAACAGTGTTCTACTGAATGAGGGTATTCAAGTGTTATTTGGTGAAATGTTTCACTCAATTATCTTGCTTGATAAGTCACAAGGATTTACTGTATGAAATGAAATACAGATGATTGTTGGCATCAGTCAAACATACAACTACTTGTTGCAATGCGTTAGGTATTGATCATTATAATGGGACAGATTGTGTGCATTCCTAGTTTACTAAATTGAGAGTATTCACCTTGTACTCAATCGTGCTCCAGATACTCACTTGTAGAAATAATGATAGTGGATTGGAAATATTAAACGGTGATTTGTGCATAAATATGATCTGATCATATTCACAACTATAAACTGATTGGCATTCGTTAGCAGTTTCGAGAGTGTTAGATGTGTGAGTTGTTGGTTAAAAAGAACACTATTTCACTGTTTGTGTAACGACTCATTTCACATTAAACTAATTCACACTCTTGTTCCATTGAAAGACCACGCTTCTATTGAAAGTGAAAATTGTGCATATCATGTGAGTAGTGATTGTGATGATGAATGAACCATTCGTTTCATCATTAGGAATCGTGATCAATCTATCATCATCAATCCATCCATGATGAACAGGCTTGTTGAAACGATACATTTATATAATTCAGTCAGATGGGCTTCCCTACTTCAAATCATGAATTTCAATTTCTTCAATTCTAAATCTTACCAAACAACTTCAACTACATTTCAGTCTGACTATTACTCTTGAATATTTAATAGTAGTGTATGACTATGGTATAATTACACTGAGGCATTTCAACACACACAAAGAATATAAATGAAATCAGAGTAAGTTGACCTGAAGTAGACTTTTAGAATTCCATAACTAATTGTTGAATGAATGAATGAATGCAAATTGTTTTGTTGAAATTTATTCATTTGAGTTTATTAATTAAACAAATACCATAATTTAGTTTAAAATTGACATAATCAAATCACAAATTAATGTGGAATGTTGATGATAGCGTAGGTGAATTGACTGTGTTTATCTTGTTCATTGCCAAATCATATGCCTTCATAGACGTTGTAATTCAATTCATTTATTCACAGATAAGACAATAATTACAAATTACAATTTAATGGTGATGATAATGATGATGAGGACGCATGGTACTTTTCATGATCTATGCTGACTGATTGAATTTCATCGGTAAGACATTGTGAATGCTATGCTTTATATTACATGATCAATGCAGTGCTCTATCAAAACCAGTAGTTTTCGGAACAAATGAGCTAATAGATACAAATGAAATGAGGAATTCGCTCCAGCTCGTGATCATTCACGAGTAAGTGAGGTGGCTCTTGTACATTCTACCATGTCAAGGAATATTATATCGATGTGATGGTTGGTGGAAATAACACATGATTTGAAATGATTACTATTCTACTCATTGGAACATAAAGTGTATACCATATTGCCGATTGATTTTCATACTGGATATGAGCAAATCTTAACTGAACGAGACTTCTCCATGTCTGTTGCGATTTCTGATTAACTTAACAGAATGAGTGAACGAACGAATGAATGAATGGAGTATTGATCAGTGGACCGTATGACATCCACTATTGACAATAGCTGTCCAATCATTCACATGTAGTTTTGAGCACTGCGTTAAAACATTCAACCAGATATTTCAGAGAAGAAGTCGTTTCTCTTACTTTCATCAATCGAATAAGTCTAGTTTGATAGAATTCTGAATGGATAAATGATTGAAACGGAAATCAGGTTCCGCCGCAATTGGATTGACCTGTTCGAGGAAACTGGGTTTGGTCGAGTGAATTTTGAATACAATTCTATTTGTAGAAGTCAACCACTAAGACTCACCAAAATGTGTGAGCTATCACACCATCTGAGATTGTGTGGTAAAAGAAGTTGGAATTACTGTGGTTCAGTATTGAAGTCGATTTCATTCGTTCTTCATATTGACGGTTTCGACTTGTAATGTCTGCTACCATGTCAAGCACACATGGATTATTCTAGATGCTGAACAGACCAATTTATTCACCCTTCTCAAACAACATACTCACCTTGTCAATTATTCGCCTATTATACTGGACAGTTCTTATGTGATCGTATATGTGTCTATTGCTTACCCTATTCATCACGTATTTATCTGTAACTTATTCTAGTCTGAATAGAAATATTGTATCACTCGCCTGAGAAGATAGTCAACATCACACTGAATTCTGACGATGAATTAAACTGAATAATCGCGCATTATGGACTGCTCATAAACTCGTTTGAATTAAAGACCAGTGTTAGACAATGTTGTTTACTCTCATCCTCTCTCGTGATCAATGTACAGCTATGATGCAGCTGAACGAAACACACTTCACAGATGACCTGGCTCTTCTATCGCACATGCAACAACAAATGCAGAATAAGACGACCAGTGTAGCAGAAGCTCCAGCAGCAGAGGGTCTCAATAGACACAAATGGAAAACCAAGATTCTTCGATACAACACAAAATGCACCAATCAAATTATACTTGACGGAGGAGCTATGGATGATGTAAAAACCTTTTCATATCTGGGCAGCATCAAAGATGAGCACGGTGGATCTGATAAACCGGCCACTTGATGATGGACTAGTAATAATCACACATATGAATTGATATATATATATATATATATATATATATATATATATATATATATATATATATATATATATATATATATATACAATGGAGGGTGGAGACAGTTTGTAAACTCAAAAATGGAATGAACATCATAACATGGGATAACCTCTTGAATTTATTATAATTCAATATGTCTGTCTACAATCTTCATAATCACATGTTAATCTGATTGGATAAATCATTAATTTATCGATTGAGATCATGAACCCATTATTGTCAGACCACCATTGAAAACCTGGAAGCACTGCTACAAAAGCAGAATAGGATAAACACATAGAGAATGACGTAATTTTCACTGAAGAAATACAGTTGAGAAGACATTGCATTTTCCCTCAATTTCATTCAACAATTTATTACGTGTTTGGGTATCGTTGATTCATTTCAAAGATTGATATTCCATTATTGGAATAAATGAGACTTAATGGTTGCAAGTGGAATGCTAAACTATTGAGCCACTCCAATTCATATTTAAATGAAACATCCTACTTTCAAATAAAATCAACCATTAGAATACGGTGGACCTGATGCTAATGTGAAGATGCGGATCGGCAAAGCGAGAGCAACATATCTTCAATTGAAAAACATCTGGAACTCAAAACAACTGTCTATCAACCAACACCAAAGTCAGAAATTTCAATACAAAATTCAAGACAGTTCTGCTGTATGGGGCAAAAACATCGAGAACTACAAAAACCATCATCCAGAAGATACAAGTGTTTACGTCGGATCCGTTGGCCAGAAACTATCAGCAACAACCTACTATGGGAGAGAACAAACTAGGTCCCAGCGGAGAAAGAAATCAGGGAGAAGCGCTGGACATGTATAGGATACACATTGAGGAAAGCACCCAAATGCGTCACAAGGCAAGCGTTCACTTGAAATCTTCGAGGCCAAAGGAGGAGAGGAAGATCAAAGAACACATGACTTCGAGAAATGGAGACATATATGAGAAGAATGAACTAGAATTGGATAGAACTAGAAAGGCAGGCTCAGGATAGAGTGGGTTGGAGAATGGTGGTCGGCGGCCTATGCTCCAGTGGGTGTGACAGACATAAGGAAGTAAGTTCTGACAGTTCTTATGTGATCGTATATGTGTCTATTGCTTACCCTATTCATCACGTATTTATCTGTAACTTATTCTAGTCTGAATAGAAATATTGAGTCACGCTCTATCAAAACGAGTCGGCTCACTCACCTTCTCCTCTACACGTCACTTCGTTTCGTTTCGTTTCGTCTTGTTCGCTACGCTCTCTTCACTCAGTTTCTCTGATTGTCTGTCTGGATCAATGAGTGTTCGAAATATATCAATTCAAAACACATTCTCGTATATGGCTTGTTTTATTCCGTTATTGTCTAACGTGAATTGAGTCGATAGTTATATACGAGGATTGACAACATGCATGATTTCTACAACAATCAGCATACGTTCTAATTGGAGTCAGATCACAGCACCAATAAACGCTTCCTATTCACTACTTGTATTCTCACTCAAGTAGCAAGTTTGTCTGGCATATATGAAGCGTGTTTCAAGATAGATAGACCGATCACTCAGCATGACACTTACCAAGAATCACTAAACAATCTGACAATTGCTTTTATGAAATTACTAACTTAACTGAGAAGAAATCAATTCAGAGGAAGTGACCAGTGTATGTATGAAATCAACACTGATCAACGTTAGAAAGTCATATAAAGAGAATTAAGATGAATATTTCTGTAGAAAATGATCTTAATAATAATAATAATAAACCACCAAATATGACTATGTTACGTGGGCGAATAACACAATCGATTGACCTTTGGAACTTGATATATGAGAATACTGTCTCATTATGACAAAACAAACAAACAAACAAAAATGAAACTATCTATTGTTTCTCATAGAATACCTTCCTTGTGACAGCGGCACGTACTTAAAGTAGATTTGTTCTTTTTTCTGTTTTCTTTTCATATTTCTATTAGGTTAAATTAGGAATTCCAGTAATTCACTTAGTCAATTAGAGTTTAGACATTTAATGAAGAAAAACAAATTGG